GTTGTTTTCTTTTTTGTATGAACGAAATACACATGTGCTGGAGGGGGGGGGGGGGGGGGGGGTGAGAAAAGGAGCAAAAACGTCGTTTGCACAGATTTTTTTAAAAATATGTACACTTTTTTAGACATTTCTTTACAAAGAAAAACAAAAAATTGTATCAAACTCCACAATTTCCTATTTTTACAGTACTAACAAATCAAACCTTGCTGCTGCAAATGGGAAACAAAAGAGGCAAAATAATTGAAAGAAAAACCGTTAAGGTAGAGGGCGAAGGCGGAGCTTGCTCAATCTTTAATATGTCACATAAAAACAGCGCTGGAAAATATTTACAACCTTATTGAGGAAAAAAAAAAAGAACAAAACGGCAATATGCCTTTTTATTCCTCCACATTTTGTTGCGGATCGGCAAAGAAGGGACCGGAGGGATGCATATTCACAAAAAGGCTGAGAAGTGGGTGCAATCCGTTAGGTACATGTGGCCAAAATCTGCCAAAACACGGTAAATGTTTGACAAAAACCTGTAATAGAAACCCCTGATTCGCTCTCTCACAACTACAAAATAAAACTCGCGCGCGTGCGCATACACACACACATACACACACACACACACATTTCCTCCCACCTGCTCAAAGTAATAAATATCTGGAATTTGCTGCAGTCACGTACAAAGCTGTGTTCACCGTTATGAAGAAGACCGCTGTAACGGAAGATATGTTCGTGTTCCTTTTACGATTCATCGACAGAACGAAAATACAAAATAATCAGACTGGAAAATACAATCATGACAGGGTGCTTCAGGGGAAAACTATATATATATATATATATATATATGTATATATATATATATATATACATATATATATATATATATATATATATATATGTACATCACTCACTTTAACTTTTTTATAACCACATTTGAAATCTTAAAAAGGCAAAATACTCAGTCCCCGAAAATATTGTCATATTTAAGGAAGAAATATCTCCACCAGAAACTCTACCCTTCTGCCTTTTTGTACACAGTTGACAAAAATATATAGATATATATATATATTAACAGCAATAACTTACCATTGTTTTTAATTTATCCACTTATTGATTTCTAAGATTAACGTCGCATCTCCCATAGGAAGGAAGCTTTAGTTCGTATTTATACATCAGAAAAATGTTTAAATAAAAAATAAAAACTTTTAAAAGCCCCGGCTCGCTGTGTGGCAGTTTGTCATCAGGGGCAACGAGTCAGAGCAAAAAGTCGAGGCGAGGCTACATGAGATTGTGGTTGAGCTCCTGGCTGTTGCTGCTGCCGCTGTTATTGTTTCCCCCCAGCATGTCTGGCTGCGTGCCTTGCCCTCCGTGAATCCCTGCCATCCCGCTCAGCTGGGACATGATGGAGTTCTGGTCACTGAATTGACTGGGATCCACGGAGCCCCCTGGTGGCTGCTGCTGCTGGGACAAAGCTTGTTGTTGGACCTGCGGCGGCTGGGGCGGAGCCATGCTGGGGTGGTGCTGGGCGAGGTGGCCCGGGTGAGGTGACCCGCTCTGTGTCTGCGGGGAGATGCGGTGAGGCGAGGGCTGCGGCTGGGAGGAGGGCTGCATACGCGGGGATGGGCTGGAGCGTGGTGGCTGCGACTGCGGCCGGGGGGAGGGCTGAGGGGAGCGGACCTGGCTGCCCAGTGAGCCTGCCGGGCCGAGGCCGCCTTGGCCCGGGATGTGGGGGGATTGGGCCATCTGGGGGCTCATGGGGCTGCTGTGCTGGGCGGGCGAGCCGCCCCCCAGGTGTGATGGCTGCAGCAGTCTCTGCTGGAAGTTCTGGTGAACCATGCCTTGGGACAGCGGTGGCACTCCCACTCCACCCTGCTGCTGCCCCGGCCCTGAGGCACCCTGTCCGGGCTGCAGGGGTGGCCCGGAAACCCCCCCACTCAGATCTGGTCCTTGGTGACCACCCATGTTCTGCTGCATCTGTACCTGATGCAGCCTCTGCTGCAGCGCAGCAGCTACTTGTGACATGGGGTACCCTTGCTGAGCTGGCCCCCCCTGTGGTCCTTGTTGCTGCTGATGGACCCCTACAGCGCCCCCTGCAGGCTGTGGCTGAGAGGACGGAGGCATCCCTGCCTGTCCTTGTCCAGGTTGCATGAAGCTCTGCTGCGCTTGCTGCTGTTGCTGGAACGGCCCATGGTTCGCCATTTGTTGCTGCTGTAGTTGCTGCTGTTGCTGTAGCTGCTGCTGTTGCTGTAGCTGCTGTTGCTGCTGCAGCTGCAGCTGTTGTTGCTGCTGCTGTTGCTGTAGCTGTCTCCTCATTAGCAACTCTCTGAACTGAGGATTCATATTTGCCAGGTTGCCTTGTTGTCCAGCTTGCATTGCTCCCTGTTGCTGCTGTTGCAGAGCAGCCATCTGCTGTTGCAACATGGGACGCTGCTGCTGCTGTTGCTGCTGCAGCTGCTGCAGCTGAGCCATGGTGGGCATGTTGCCTCCCCCGGCTCCACCCTGAGCGATATTCATCCCCATCTGGTTAACGTTAACCTGTTGTTGCCCATCCAAGTTGCCAAGCTGGTTGGCTCCAGGTCCCCCTACATTGGGCAAGCCTCCAGCAGAGCCTGGGAACCTTACACCTCCAGGGCCCCCAGCTGGTGGCCCCCCAGGGCCTCCCTGAGAACCTTGGTACCGGGCCGTTCTCTGGCGTATGAAGGCGGCCATCAGAGTTGGGTTGGAGCGCAGGATGTTGAGGACTTGTTGCTGCTGCTGGGGTGAGGTTGGGGAGCGGAGGGTACGCAGAAGCTCCTGTACTGCTCCCTGGGGCAGGTTACCCGTTCCACCTCCTTGTATCAGCCCAGGGGCCCCTGCTGCCCCTTCTGATACACCCAACACCTGCATCAAACCTCGGTTTCCTGCTTGGGTCTGCTGCGGATTCATTGGCGGCGGCTGCTGAGTGATGGCAGCCTGCTGCTGGGGGGGCATAGACCCCATTATAGCTGTCCTTGTTTGTGGGTTCATGGTCGGCCCTCTGGGGCCCCCCCACTGCTGGTTTGTTGGCTGAAGTGGTTGCTGAATTTGAGAGGTCAGCTGGGGTTGTGTGCCAGCTACCATCCCGTGTTGCTGCGATTCCAACATAGTCCTGCCAACCACTCCCTGAGTCTGGGGGGCCATGCCCTGGGCCCCAATGTGGGGCATTACCATCTGTGCTGGGCTGTTCTGGTGGTGGGGGTGCTGGGGGATCATGCCGCCCTGCCCCAAGCCACGAATCTGCGCCTGGGCCTGAGCCATCCGACTCTGGGTCTCTGCTAGTCGTTGGATCTTTAGGGCAGTCTCTACTGCAGCTAGAGGAGGCCCCTGCGGCTGGCTCTGTACAGGCATGGACCCCTGCCCCTGCTGCTGCTGCTGGGGTGGGGTGGCTGGACCCAACCCAGGTTTCCCTAGCGACTGATGGAGAGACGCCGGCCCCGGTGGTCTGGGGTTGTACGGAGGTAAACCTCCAGGGTGCTGCAGTTGCTGCACGTTGGGTGCCTGCTGCTGCTGATTCACCATCTGCTGCTGGGGAGACATCATCATACCTTCTGCCTGGAACTGCTGGTGGTGATGCTGAGGGGTCATCGCACCACCTGGCTGCTGACCCGGAGTGACCATCCCGCCCATCTGAACTCCTTGTGGCTGAGAAAGTGGAGGCATGCTGCCCGGGGTGGGGGTCTGCGGGGTCGGAGGTTGCGTACCAATGGATGTTGGGGTGGCCGGACCGGTTGCTCCGTTGTTGCCACTCGGAGACGGCAGCCCGTTCCCCCCAGGTGGGCCGCCCGGAGGGGCCTGGCCAACCCTCTGCATGCTGGCCATTCTCCTCCTCAGCATCTGGGCTTGCTGCAGCCGGTGCTGTAGCTGCTGCTGCCGCAGCTTGTGCTTGATATTCAGGCAGAATGGCACTGGACACTTGTTCTCCTGACAGTGCTTGGCGTGGTAGCAGCACAATGCAATGAGCTGCTTGCAGATGGGGCAACCGCCGTTGGTTTTCCTCTTGCAGCCTTTCGTGTGTTGGACGACCCGTTTCATCTTCTGGCAGGACGGCAGGGAGCAGTTGGCGTTGCGACACTGGCAAGCGTGGACCAGGGACTGGATGCAACGCTGGATGCTGAGGCGGCGCGAGTCTCCTGGGCTCTGGGTGGTGGCAGCGGCCTGGTTGCTGCTCTCATCGTCCAAGCCCAGGCCTAGCTTCTCCATCTTGTGCTCATGGCTCTTAGTGTTGTAGCAGGTGATGCACAGGTCGTAATCCTGTAGCAAACGCCACAGACAGAACAATTAAGATGAAAGTTGCAGAATGGGAAAGTTGGGATTTATTGACATTTTTTCATGGAGATTATTTAATACGTTCCCAGACTCGCATATAAAAAGTAAAGAATAGGTTACATTTAAACTATGGGGTAAGAGATAAAGTCTGGAAACAGAAATCTATGTCCACACTTGTCCCGTATACCTTCCAACTTCAACACATCCGACCCTCCACCCTGACACTCACCTCACAGACAGTGCAGTGGAAGCGGGTCTCCACATGGTGCTTGCACTCGTTGCACGTGTAAACAAAACGGTCCTGGCTTTGGTTGTGCAACTCCACCAGCATGCACATGGAGCTCCACTTGGCCCTCCTCAATGAGCTGAACTCAAGGTGTTTGTCCCGGGCCAGTGTCAGAAACGCATCCCGACCGTCCATCAGGTCACATGCCATCAGGGGGTCCGGGTCCACGATGGGGGGCAAGGCGTTTGCCATGGGACCCGCGATCAGCCGGATCACAAAGAACACCTGGCAGCAGGAAGAGATGAGGGATGAGTGATTAGCAGTCTTTAAAAAAAACAAGACAAACAAAGGAGTTCACTTAAAGCTGCAGTAATATTTTTTTTCTGTTTTTTTCTGATTTGTCACCATGTTCTAACATTATAATATGAGACAGGTAATCTGAAAAGATTAAGCTCCACCACTCAATTTGTCAATTTCAGTGTTTCCCAACCCTGGTCCTCAAGGCACCAGGGTAGGCACTGGCCTAAATGTTTAAGGTATTTCCTTGCTTCAGCCCAGTTGATTTAAATCGTTGACTGATTAACAGGCATATTAAATCATGGAAACCTAAAACATGTAGGACAGTGTTCCTTCAGGACCAAGGTTGGGAAACACTGGTCAATTTGACTGACAACCAATCAATTCTCAATCAGATTGACAATTTAGCAGCACTGTCAACAAATGCTGCTCCATGTGCCAATAGCAGATAGAAAAACTTACCATTCCAGGAAAATCACTTATCCACATTTATACAAAGGTTATGCCAACTAGTCTTGTGTTTCCTGGCAGGCTATATTGTATTGAACAATGTGTAGCGTAGCAGAGAGCAAGGGTAAAGGGGCTAGCACAAGCATGATTGATGGCGCTTTAAGACCCTAACCCTGGCTCTGATTGATTGTTTTTCTGATGCATTTCTGCAGTTTGCACTGCGCAAGTGCAGAGCTCAAGTTTTTCACAGGTTATTTATATACTTGTTCTGTCACAACATAATACTAATTTTAACAAATATGTAAAACACATTTTGTATAGTTATATACTGCCATGTTAAGATTATTATTAAGTAAAGGTACAGAGAGATATGGGCTGGTGTTCGTGATTGGACGAACACCAGCCCAATCCACAGTGATTCAAATGTTATATTCTATTTTACCTTTGAATAACCAGAAAGTTTTAAAGATATTTTAATGAAGATGCTGTCTTAAATCTGCACACGGTTCAGCTAAAATATTACATTTCATTCTATGTATGCACATTTTGGGTTTTATTGTGTTTGTGCCTCCAGGTCGTTGTTTCGAAATGAGAATTCATTCTTAACTCACCTGGTTAAATAAAGAGTAATAAAAAACAAATCTTTTGGCCCATATTTGTTATTGAACAAATTCAAAATGTTTGTGTTTTAGAGAGATCAGAGTTGGGGTTAGTGTCCACTTACAGAATACAGATGAAGACTGCTTTTTCTATGACGCTATCCAGGCAAACAGCTAACAAAAGATGTAAGTCCATGTTCAATTTATATTTACAGCAACTTCATTCTAATACAGAGGTGTGACACCATCTCTCTTCCTTATATAAATAAGTGATAACTAATTTGCTTTAGGTCTTCTTCTATGCCGCTGGCTGACATAGATGTCAGAATTGGAGCACAAATGCCAGACTGGTCTAATATTTAGCAGTGATCAGCAGGTTAGATGGGCCGCGCTGCGTGTGCCTCCATACCTCTTTGTGTTTCTCCATCGTGGCGTAAAGTTTCTGCGACAGATCGTTGGAAACGTTGGGCATCCCGGGTTTCTTCTTATTCGAGCGACTCAAGCTGCTTTTGTTCTTGCTCGTCTTTTTGTTGTTCTTCTTCTTTGCATTTTTGCTGTCGCTTTTTGCATCCTGCACAAAGGAGAGAAAAAAAGAAGAAAACCCCTGATTGTTTCATCGATGCATTCTGGAACCAGTTCATGACTCCTCTTCCCAGAAACAATCTAAATCAAAGAGCAGAGAGAGGGAAGAGACTCAGCCTTACATCAATGCTCTCATTAGAAGTACTGCTCTCCTCCTTCTTCCTCTCCTCCTCCTCCTGCTCCAGCTCCTTGATACTCTCCTCCAACACATTGGGCCAAAAGTCGCCCTCAAAATAAGGCAGTTCCTTGGCACTGGTTAAACGATCCTCCGTCGCCTGTTTGAAAATATCCTTTGATGCAAGAAACAAAGAAAAGTTAATGTTCTGCAAAACTGATTTTAATCTGACGTCCTAAACATTTTCCGGTAAAACTTAGAGGAAAAGGAAATATAGAAACTAAAACAGGTTTCAGTGGTATGTACCTTGTAGTCGTGTACTATCCGCTCCGCTACGGCTTTGTCGAGCATCTTCTTGTACCACTCTTGCAGTCGCTTGGGCTTTGGGATCTTCTGATCCAGAGGATGGCAGTGGAAGATGTAGTCGTCGCCCTCACTAGGCGGGCAAGCCCAGATGTGACCGGTGGTGTAACTGGCCAAAAGAGAAACCCAAAACGGGTCAAAACCAGTGGCTCCTTACTCAATTCAAGATTCCACACTGTGACACACTTAAATCTTTAGATTTGAGACCAGTTCAGATATTGGAGGGGAAAAAAACAAAAGATTCTGATTGGATCAAAATCTATTGATACTGAATTAGGAAATCTGGACTGGATAATCATATTAGGTAAAACTGGTCTTTTGGGGTTTAGAGGCAAAAAGAGTTTAAAAAGTCAAGGCTGTTGATTTTTTTAATGAGCAGGTGTTTATCTGTGTGTTTTACACCAATAAACTCACAAACCTAAACAATCAATGAAACCGAAATGTAGAATTTTTTTTATCTTTCAGATTGGAAAGAAATTACAAAAAGTGATCAACTTACTTTGCGTGTGTATCAACAAAGTTTGTGTTCAAAGAAAAGGACATCCAAGAACTCATAAATAAGTTCTACTTTGCGGCACTCACCCTAACTTCTTGACATACTCCAAGTAGCTGATGAGGATTTCATGGTAAACTGCTGTTCTTAGGCAGCGAGGCCGAAAGAAGTGAACACTGTCCAGGTAGGATATGTAGACTCTCCTGGAAGGAAACCATGATGCCGACTTGATTCAAACTGATTCATCTGATTTTAAGTCGGGTTAAAATCACAATAGGTGGAAAAGGTGCGGTAAGGTGGATTTCTGTACCTCTGGTTGGGCTGAGGGCAGTCAGAGCCGTACTCCTGAACATGCATACCAAAGAAGCAGACGTCCACACCGTCGATGTCCTCAAAGGCAAAAAGAGCTTTGGTCCTGTAAGGGAACGACTCGGACATCTCTCCACTGTCCACAAACCTGAGAGCAGAAACATCAGGAAGTTATGACTGTGACGCATAAACCAACACCTTCTGAGGTAGAAAAGCATCGAAAGAGGAACAAATATTGAGCAACATCCATGCTTTTGCATTTAAGGCGACACCTTTTAGTTTAAAAACGTTCAAGGAATCTGAAGGTTAACTCCTTCGTTTTAGCAATCGCTGTAAAACCACCTACTTATAGATGTTCACAAGTCTTTTAGTTTTTTTTTGTTTGTTTTTTTTTTTACCTGGACTTCATTCCTGGTTTGACTTCCACCACTTTATCAGAGACGTGGACGACCCGGATGAAGACCTCTCCGGATTCAGGATGGGCCTGGCGCTTCAGGAAGTCGTTGACTCTTGACTCCAGGAAGGTTCCCAGCTTCGTCTGGGGCAACCCTGTAGGACAAACAGCAGAGAACGGTAAAGAGAAGAGCCATCACTTCTAACTACGATGACACAAAAAGACAATTCTCCTCTCATTCATCATGTGTATATAGACCGTTACCTAATATGCATCACCAGTTGGCTGGAAGGTAAGAACGTAAGAGAAAAACTGGAATCTGGAGTCAATCTATTATTATTGTTACAGCCTATAGGCAACACTCAGGGTCCCACCACATTTTTCATGTCAAAACTTCATGTTTTCCCACTCAAATTTACTGCCTTGCTCCCTTTTAGTCATAATTTAAATAAGCTTGTTACAAATTTATGGAGATATTTTTATAATGATCCAGCTTCAAACATGGAATTTGGAAATCTGGAGCGGGAAATGGAAGGTCACACAGACAAAAAAGAGGGATGAATGAAGAGATGGTGAATGGACAGATGGATTGAAAGATGATTGATAACCATCATCGGGATTGAAAAAGATGACTTCAGAACGAACAAATGGATGGATGGACAGAGGGACCAATGGGCAAAAGGAAGAATTAGTCGATGAGCTACAAGACAAAATGTTGCAAGAACGAAGGGATGGATGATGGACAAAACGATGGACGAATGGACCTTCAGACAATTAGATATGGAATCAAGTTTGGAAATATAAATATTATTTATATTCTTTCAGCTATTCAGACTTTGAAGATACTTAAATTCCATTCCAAAATCTTCTTTTCAAAGATGTAAAAGAACTCTGTACTTAATAATAAAGTCTAATTCCTAATTAAATGAACTTAATGCGCTGTTTGCTAACTACGACTAATTGGAATATATGTATGTATGATTGAATTGAAATTATTTGTTGTAAAGTCCCACAGGACGTCATTTCTTGTTAATTGGTTTGTGTATAAATGAACTGAATTGAACTGAGTTCACTTCTGCCTCACCATAAATTTGTACAGAGAGTTGGTTCACCATGAACACATCACAACAGGAGCAACATCATCAGGCATTACTCACTTTTGGCAGAATATTTGTTCTCTTTCCTCGTCTTGTTTGTCTTCTTTAAACAGCCATCACAAACAAAACTATGAAGCACAAAGCAAAAAAAAACAAAAAAAAAACAGGTCAGGTAAAAATCAATAAATGAAGCAATTTGTAAACGAATTAGCTATTCCATAAGAAAACTATGTTGCTTACCCTGCTGGCCAGATTGTTTCATTGTGCAAAACGCAGATCTGATGCATCCTGCGTCCACAGTCCATACATTCAACTAGCCTGGACAGAGAGACAGACATGTTAGGTTCAGGTTGCCATAGCGGCGTGGCGTCTAATGGCTCTAGACTTACAGCTCAGGGTCCAGTGTGTCGTTTTTCTTTTTCTCAAACTGATCCTTGTTTATAGACCTGAAATGAGAGCAGTACGACAGGTTGAAACCTCAGCTATGGAGTCGGAAACGATTAAGACACAGCAGAGATGCTCCGGAATGTTAACAAGAAAAACAGAAATACTCACGTTTGTGGCTGGGTGGGGTCATCGCCCAGGGAAACGGTCTCTCCCTGGATCTCGTTGAAGCACTTCTCGCAGTAGTGGTACCTGTCAGCAACAAGCCCAAATTTTGGTGAACTACACCATTCCCCCACAGCACAGTCAACCACAGACAGCGCATAGGAGGGGGCAGGGGTGGGGGGGCGGCCACCGAACAAGGCGGGGAGGAGGACAGCAGGACGGCGGGGGAGTCGTCGTCAACATAGCCAGGCATGATTTCAATGGTGAGGAGAGACAGGTAAGGGAAGGGAGTGGGGAGAGGACAAGCCAGTGTTGATGTCACAGTGAGTGGGAGAGAGGACAGGAGAACGAGACAGAACAGGACGAGACGAACACCAAGGACAGCAGAGAGGCGAGGCAAAGCACAGATTAGCAATTTGGACATGAGAGGATGAGCAATAGGCAGCATCGCAGCTAACGAAGCAGGAGCAGAGTTAACAGCCGCTGTACGAGGGGAGGGGACATGTAGATTACACAGAACAACAGGGAAGCCCAGGAGACGGCTCAGCTCTTCATTCAAGCAGCTCATTTTAAAGTCGGTCCTTTTACAGTGAACTGGTTTACTTTGGTTAGCAAAGGTCAGAGGTGAAGGATGAAAGTGAAGGTAGATGCCAAGATGTTCAAATAATAGCTTTAAACTGCATCATTTCCTCTCTCGACTGGCAAAGAACACTTCAAAACTCAAAAATCCAATCTTTTAGTGTTCACTGAAAGTACCAATTAATTGCTACCAGATTGTGTCAACAACAATCTTCAGTGGGGATGTCGTTACTGAAGGAGAGCTCAAAGTTGGCTAGTTTCTGTTGGAATGATGTTAGAAGAAATAGAGATGTTATTTAAACTGAAGAGTTTGTTTTGCGACATGCTTTTGCCACAAAAGGGAGCAGGAGTTTCAGCTGGTAACAGGAAGGCTGAACAGAATACAGCAAAATTCCATTTTATTTTCTTTAACCTACAAATTCTGCCAATACTGTCAAATCTACCAAATTTATTTATTTTTTTTTTTTAAATTTCAAAGTAAGAGGAAAGATTTACATTTGAAAACAAACTCAGATCACTGTTGTAGTGATGCTAGCCAAGCTATCTGCATTAAACTGCAGACATTGCATAAAGTTTAAATAGCAGCAGAAAAATTACAAATTTTCTCCACTTTGCTGCTTCAAATTATTAAACAGTAGTTGTGGTTTGGCCTGTTGCAATAAGCAAAAAAAATCAATGCAATAATTTCCATTTGCATGATTTATATTTTTTCTCTCTTTCTAACAAAAATTTAATAAGTCTTCAGTCTGGTGCTTTGGTCTATTTTGTTTACAGACACTGATAATTCATTTTATTTATCGTTTATGTTGTTTTATTTACTTTGTGTATTTAAAATGTCTTCCAGATCCAGTGTCAAATGTTCATTAAAATTTAAAGTTTATTGATCTTTGACAGTGTATTCTTGCATTATTGGGTAACACTTTATTTGAAGGGGGTTGAATAAGACTGTCATGACACTTTCATTAACATGACATAACACCTGTCATGAACATGAATAAGCCTTCATGAATATTTATGACTGTTGTCATAAAGCGTCATTTGGTAAATTATGACACTTTTAATACAAAGTTGACATTATTCAAAATGTCTTTGATATGACAACTTGACGTTAACCAAGAAATCATTACTGTTTAAACTTTACCTTTAATAACATAAAGTTACCTAATACTTTTATAACAAATTTATATCAGTAATGATTTCTTGGTTAATGTCAAGTTGTCATAACAGACATTTTGAATAATGTCAACTTTGTATTAAAAGTGTCATAATTTACTAAATGACACTTTATGACAACAGACATGAATATTCATGAAGGCTCATTCATGTTCATGACAGGTGTTATGTCATGTTTATGACAGTGTTATGTCAGTCTTATTCAACCCCCTTCAAATAAAGTGTTACCCATTATTGTGCCATTACCATTACATTACTTAAAAATGGTCTCATAGCAATAATATTGTATATCCC